TGCGACCATAGACCTTCGACGGTGTTTAGTGGGCGCTTACTCAGCCCAGATGTCAGCGCACATTGGTACACATTCAGAATACCTGGCTTCGCCAAGTCGGGCCAGACAAGTGCGTGGTCAGAGTCCACGCTCGTGCCCCAAATCGAGCGACAGTTTTTAACACAGCCTCTCCAACGGTAACTGATCGCGATATGATCGATTTGCGTCCGTGACTGGCCCGAGGCTGATAGCCGCCAAGTCACACTTCTGCGGGTGCTGTGTCGAAAGTTAGTGCTCGCGAGAAAGAGGCGAACAGCTTCACACAGCTGTAGCAATTGCTCACCATTATCATCACGGGAGCCTACACCATGTTGGCCGCCCAGATGAGGCTCATCAGAGGACAATTTTCCGACTTGGGCGTTTAGATCGCCAGCCAACACCACAGTATCCGTGCTTCTTCTGTAAGGAAGGAGCTCGTGAAGTTGCTGATAGAAATCATTTTTTACCGAATCAGTGCTACAGTTTGTAGGGGGCGTAGGCAGTAGTGACAAATAGGCACCGTTTGTTCCCGCGCGATTTCGTAGCATGGAACGAACCAGCTAATCTAACGGCGCACATCCGACTGTTGACTGGGATCCAATCAATCAGGGCTGCTTCAGTCCGGGGACTCAAAACAATGCCGACGCTAGCTTGACCGGCATTTGAAGCTGCATCATCGCCAGACAGGCGCAATGAGAATGTGCCGCTAGTGTCGCATGTGGGGGATCGCAGGGTAACCACGGAGCTCGGACTTTGCAGGTGGGTTTCTGATAAACTGCAGATGTCGATCGATAGGGTCTCTAGGTTGCGGGCAAGTGCTGCCTGTTGGCTAATCTGTAGCAAATTGCGCACGTTAAGGCATGTCAGTCTTAGCGGGACTCGAGGACTACAAAGGTAAACGGATGAACTGACATTGTCCGTTTGATTGAACGTGGACTTGTCGACTGGATTAGAGCGACGCCCTGCGACTGTGTGTGATTTGAAACTAGAAGACAAGCGAATATTGAAGCAAGCTGGGGGAAGGCCAAGCATTGGGGGATTGAAAATGGAGGAGATAAAAGTAAAGTTGTAGCGGGTCAATAAGGATGAAGAAGCGCAAGAAGTGGGATAAGAAGAAAGGGCAGGCCCAAGCAGTAGCATCCAAACCCCTATCCACTCTGCTCGATGCAGCAGATAGGGCACCGTTGATTATCCTCTGCGATGGCCAGAGCAGCAAGAAATTGTTTGAGGAAAGATTCATTGTATTGCGTGGGCAGAATACTGTCAGGTTGCCCAGGCCTAGACAGGAGAACGATTAGGGTTCTCAACCAAAGCTTTTGATTTAAAAACCTTATCACAAGGCAGCGGGTTTTGGTACTTGACTACAGAGAGCCCTTTTTAAGGAATAATGAGCCACCCTTATTCCAACCCCCAACCTAGAGGACCAGGAGGCTGAGTTTGTCTGGCCTCTAACCATTGACCAATCTGGTATGAGTGGCTCTGAAGGTGCAAAAAAAAGCCCTATCCAGCATAGCTCAATGGATCGCTGAGGCACGCAAACCATCGCACTACGGTAAGATCCAGCCTCATTGTGATGGACACTTCCACATAGTAGTTCATCAAAGCACCTTTGGAAGAACCGTGACAGTGGTTCAGTTAGCTTGTTGGCCACAGTCTTCAGTAACCTCGGGCAGATGTTGTCTGCTCCCGGAGATGTATGATCGCGCAGTGAGAGTAACTTCCTTAGAACAACTGATGGGTTTAAAATTACATGTGTAAACAGTGGAGTCAGTAATCTGCATGACATTATGGGACAGGTAGAGGCTGAGAGTTCGAAAATAGGGGTGTATTGTAGCCGCAGGGCATTAGCTGCTTCTTCGGCGTTTTGTACTCTACTGTCTGTCGTGCGAAATAGGGGGGATTCCATGCTTCACTTTACGAAGCATATTGACATCCCTATACAGCAGTTTGTTGTTTACCATGAATTTTTTGGCTAGACACTGTTGGTAAGTTACTTTGTCCTCACGGACAAGTGAAGTGCTATGGTTGCGGTGGGTAAGAAATTTGCCCAAGCCTCTGAATCTGTGTTATCTTGTAGGCACGCCATGCTGCATCCCATATCGCCAGGTATTTTCGAGTCCTGCTACTTAGAGTTGAAGGTATTTTTGCGGGACGAAGGGGTTTGGTCTTTGATGCTCTGTTGATGATGTCATTGAGTCAACCAACGAACTCTGTCCAAACGTTGTCAAGGGGACTTTGTTTGAGAATTCCCAAGCGGATGCCTCTAGGAGTTCTTTCAAGACGTCCAAATAAGGTCACTCGCACTCAGTGTAAACCGAGTGTTCGTGATCGTCAGGTCGTAAATGGCACACAGTGAAGGCAGCATGTCACCGTCCGCATTCGCTGGACCAACACCATGCGGACCGATGACATCAGTCCACACCGATGCAATACGCCCAACGCGCGCGTTGAAATCACCCAGCAGAAATAGTAGGTCACTCCTCAGCGCAGACCATATTACGGAAGAGAGCGGAGTGTAGAATTGATCACGCATGTTCTCATGATAAGACATGGACGGACCGTACGTGCCTATAAAGTGGCAAACTTACGTCTTCCGAGTCGTAGGCGAGCAGTCATCAGTCTCGCGCTGATACCTGTTGGTTCACCCACCAGCTGGCCATTTAGACGATCGGATATTGCAAATCCGACCCCATGTTCACGTGTTGCTGAGGTGGCGTTACCCGCTCAGTAGAACCTGTAGCCAACAACATCTGCTTCATGCAATTTACCTTGTTCAGCGAGCCGAGTCTCACTAAGCACCGCCATATAGATTTTGCAGCGCGCCAGTTCCATCGCAACTAGTAACGTGTGTCGCTCGGGGCGTTCACTCGAGTTCCGGTCCAGTAGGGTCTGGGCCATCAACCACTTCCCAACCTCCGAAGAGAATGGACTAGGATATATATATATATTTATATAAATAGGCGAGACCTTTAATTTGGCCATTGCCGCTCTCCACCAAAACACCGTTGTTGAGCTAACTAGTGCAAACGTATCAACTTTATTTGAATCTCTAGACGAATTCTTTGGCTGGGCAATTTTAAGGTCACTGAGGTCACGCGACTCACCGATTCTTTGAAAAGTATCCGAGACACCGCGCAAAACTCGAGTTTTGCTGCTTTTATCGATGAAACGAGCTACCAATAAAAGTCACACAAATATCTACCTCGTCAATTGGAAGAATCTTATAATTTGTTCAATCAATGTGTGGTCGTTGCCCAAAGATTCATGATTGTTTACTTAAGCGACATCCATGTACTCTTTACTCGTTCTGTATTCAAAATTCTCATCTTTACTGAGGATGTTTATACCGCATTTGTGGTAAATACTGTAAAATGCTCAGTGCAGAAAGATTTGCTTGACTTGACAGCAAGAAGTGGGTTGTTGGCGAAAATACATCGCAGTTACGCAGCTAGAAGTGATTCTTATCGACTATGTAAGTTTTCTTGTTCTAAGCTCAGAAATTGTAGCGCATTTAAAACTTGGGTGAATGAAGAGAGTTTTCATTTTAACTGCTTGCTCAACGTCTCATTTAATTCTGAGTTTTACGTAGCGTGCACTATATGGATGGTCTTTCGAGGCATCGAAGTGAGACAGCGTACTAGGTTGCGTTTGTATTTAAGTGGTAGAAAACTACTATAGTAGGGATATTGACCGGTTCATTTTTTTCTGCGCTCGAAAGCAGCTTCAACACTTGGTCTGAAGAGACTTCCACTCGTCGCATCGTCTCAGTAATACGACCAATGCTAGAGTACGGCTTACCCGCATACCGTCCTATCATCGGGGGTGAGGTAGATAGGATTGAGCGAGTACAGCATGTGGTCACCAGGCTGATCTCCAATTCCCGAGGTGCGGCTTACGAAGACCGGTGTAAGAGAATAGTGCTTTACACCCTATCTTATCGTCGACTGCGGGTCGATCGCATCATGAGGCACCGGATATTACATCTTGATGATTACCCCATGTTGAGGCCACTGCTGTAGCTGCGCACACGAAGCAGCACACGAGGACACCGGTACAAACTTGTCGTACCGGATTTGAAATGAGTCGCTCACCAACTCCTTTTCGAATGCAGAGTGGTGAATGTATGGAACAACGTAATCAGTTCGCGTACTCAGTTACACATCCGGAAACGAAAGCCGGCCCACTTGTCCAACTTCTTAGTTGAACCTGATTGCCGGGTGCGCATTGTTGAACTCTACCACTTAATTTTCTACCCTTAAATCCTTATTTGTCACGCAAAAGATGTTGTCCATAAGGCAGTAGTACATACAGGTCGAAACGATCTGTAAATGGAATCAATGATTTAGCTTCTAGTTTGGCAACAAAAAGTCTGACAGTACTGGTCCGAGTGGAGACCCCACTGCGACACTGTCATTCTGCCGGGTATAAATACCATTGAAAACGAAGTAAACATTGTAAGTGCATCGCAACAGCAATTCCTTCAAATTTGGTAAGGGCATTCCTAGACGAACATTGTTCACGTGCATGCAGTAATCTGTACTTTTTAGCAACGGCACATTCATGAATAGAGAAGTTCCATCTAGTGAGAACATTTTCCTTTCTCTTAGGTTTCTAGCTCTAATGTGCTGTACGAATTTAGAACTATCGTGAACACTATGTCGAGCAATTCGTTTTCTTTAGGTTCCAACATTACTAACCACTGGGTTTGTCAAGGACGAGATTAGTAGCCTACTTTATGAATATTTTGTAGTCCACACATTCTCGAGATACATGTTCCGAGTGGTCTCAGAATTTCAATTAAACAAGCGAGCATTAACTCGCTAGCAGAAATCTTTTAGACACTTATCAGCCTTTGCTTCGCCTTGTCTGTTTAGTCTTTCGTGTCCAGTTTTACAGAGAGCTTTGTTTGGTCTTGGAGAATCTGATTCATTTTTGAAGTGTTATCACTTCTACCCATTAAAACAATACATGAACTGTCTGTGGAGTAATTGAACAGATATACTCGCATTCGAATTCAGTTAGGTTAAAAGCTATGGACGAAAAAGTACCGAATCCATGATTTAACAACACCATGGATGTACAGCAAGAAGCAGTAGGACGTCCTCTCACCAAATTAGTGAAGCAAAATATTGAATTGCTCAGGAATTACGTAGTGAAGGGAGGATCAGAGTTCCGTTTGTGACAGCATATAAATCCATTCAATTTATTCGTGTGCGGGATACGTACAAAAATGTACACCAGTGGAACACGAAGAAAGAGAAATCGCACGTGATATGAGGGGAGAGAGTTGGCAAAGTAAGAATGCAGTGATACGAGAAGACCTAAGACAACGGGTTGAGCTCGTTTTTATCCGGTACGGGATACCTAAGACTGCCGCAGTAGTAGTTCCAGTCCGTTTGTCGCGATGTCGAAGACATCAGAGTATAGGACTGAGGAGGGTACATAAAGACTAAGGTTTGGAAAAGGAACGCGAAGTTGTTACTAGACTGGAACTGACGCAAACAGATGAGAGAAATAACATGCTGGTTCTGGACACCGCTGAGGGTCCTTCACTGGTCTTCAACGTCTTGTGTTACTGTTGTGTCCACACAAGGCAGATTGGAATCCAGTACAATGGTCACAGGTCCATCGTTCACCAGCTTCACATCCATGATGGCACCGAAGACTCCATCTGTTGAGGCGTGAAAGGAGGAAGAGAAAGCATAGAAGGACAAAACACATTTGAGCAAGAGATGGTTGGTTGAGTGACGCACTAAGATGTGAACACCGAGGTGAATAGCAGTCAAAATGAAACACGAATGTAACAAAATCAGATTCATGAGATTTCTCCAAGAAGAGAAATACTTATCCAAAATACCTTTAACTCGCTCCGATAAGTAGTCTTTTCGCAGTCGAGCGATCAGTGTCGCGTAGATCAAAGCTGAAGGAGCTGGGCTCATGGCGCGATGAAAGTCGAGCTTGTTACCTTTGAGTTCGCAGTACAGCGTGAACTGAAGGGGGAAGCGGATTAACAGAGAGAGAGTTCCACGTAAACTACTGAAAGCAGACTAAGTCGTCTGAGAACAGAAGTAATTATGTCGAAAGAGCATGAGGCCGTGAGCGAAGATACAAGGTTGATCATCAGCAGTGGGATCATAAAAACCAGCAATGGAAAGAGATAACCCAAGAAAACGCCGTGTCATGTAGTGAAAAGGTGACACCGGAACGGACCAATGGCGGATGAGCTATGCACCATAGACTCGAACTAATACAACGCCACATTATCGAGACGAATTCGTTCCACAAAATGTGGAAGTACCGCTAGCGTTGTAGAATAGGACCACAGGATTGAGGTGAACAATCACCACAGTGTGTATCAGTTTAAGAATAAGTAAATAGAACCATCAACTTGAACCCTAGAAGTGTGGTGAAGTGCATTTGATAAACAGTGAAAAGGGAATTTATACGGGTTAAGAAGCATTGCTTTACAGGTACCGTTGGAGAGTTGGTGAGGATATCGAAAAAACAATAATGAGAATAATGATAGTTTGTACTCCAAATATGAAAATAAGGACTAATCGTTTGCTCCGTCGTAGTCCTGCAATCCGCTTAGATTCACAGAACCCGCAGTTAACATCAAACAATTCCATGGTAAACTCCAGGAGTAGGATGGGGACGTAGTGCTAAGTGACAAAGTGTAAGTGAATGAGTGCATCATCCAACCGTCTTTTAAATACTGTTACTGTCGATGCAGAGACGATTGATTCTTGGACAACATTCCACTGGTGACAGACACGAATGGAAAAGAAATTTCTGCCCCACTCCAGGCGGACCCTTTTACTCGAGTGACACCATTGCGCCATTTTCTGTATCCATTTATAAAATTTTGCATTGGTCGAAATGTCATTTTACTTAACCCGCAGTTGATAATGTAAAATGCCGAAAATGCACCCATCTGGGTACATAAGGCTTACCTTGACGTGACTTATGCTATTTGTGGATGTTCATTAGTCGGTACGCACTGCTCAATCACTATGCTCAGTTCGACCTACTCCTGATTTGTTAGGAGTCACGCTCATAATTAGCCGCCACGGTCCGTGCGGTTATGGCCAACTCAATTGGGTGAGACTTGATCCACTTTTTTGCACTAGTTACGCACCGCCTTCGTTTACCATGTGGACCGGTCGCTATTGAAGCCCATGTCGTAAGTCCAGGTTCGTTGGTGCGCACACGCTGCTTTAGCCAATGCACTTCAAGTTTGTTGCGCTTCGCCCAACCTAGATTAAGCAGTCTGTTTTGTCTCTTCGGCTGGTGCTATCGTGGTCAATTCGTGTCGGCAGTGATTAATTGGCTTTCTGTCTGCTTACGTTCGCCCAAATGACCAGCCAGCATCGAAGTTCTCTACACCCGAATATGTGAAACGAACAAACACAGTCTATCTAGACAGGATGTATGTAATCATACCCACGAGGAGTTGATCTATCAGTACAGAAGAAGCGAGCGGTCATTTGGACAATTTCAAGCTATGATCTTCATACACACCAGTGGTGATGAGGACGTGAGCAACACGGACGACGAAACATAAAAAACAAACAAATTGCGCAACTAGTCCAAAATGTCTTATACACGAATCCGCCCGGAGCGATTAAGATATGGAACGAAGACCCATAGGTCAGTGGTGCGAATAGTGTCAAGAACGGAACTGGACGGTTTCGGTGTGGCTCTCCCCTATCCCTGCATTCCAGTACCGACGGTTAATTCCCGGTTTAGGCTCATCAGGTAGAGATAACTTGACTTGGGAATGGAACTCGGCACATAGTGATTATCGGTAATCGCCATGATCATTAGATTGTTGAGTCCCGCGAGTAGTGCTCGACACAGCGGTTAGAAGTTGGTTTTCCGGTTTTGAAGCATCTGCAGTGTATCTTGGGTTGTAACACGTAATCTCAATTGTCGCCTCGGTCTACTTTCAAGAGCTCCAGTGATAGCAATAATCAGTCACACAGAATGGCAGTCGGCAAAAGTAGCACAACAATAGGGATTGATTGCATTGAAAAGCTTAGGGTGTATGCCACTGTGTTGATCAACCGTCACGATATCGAAGTCACGCTTCATCCATTGCTGTGCTTTAATGTGGCAGCGCGTGGCCGAAAATAGCAGAGAAACACCACCACCAGTGGAAGCGCAAAGACAGCATAAGCCATAGGTGATTGGACCATCTTTAGACACAAAGCCTTAGTGGGAGTGAGGGAAAAGCTGACAGGGACGGATATTATTCAGAAATAAGGGCATCCAGTAAGAAGAACGGATGACACACCAGGGAGATCGTTATTACTAACCTGGCTTACGCAGAGCACTTCCAGACCAAGATCTCTGACACTTTTATCCCATCGTCGAGAACCATCTGCGCTGGGAAATAGGCGAACGTTCAGTAACTTCCGGGCACTATCAGACAAGAAGAGATAAAAATAGTGGGATAGAAATACAATGTTCATGCACAAATAAATGGTTCGCAGCGATGAGGATCGCCGTGACGGTAGCGCAAACGGCACACACACAAATGTCGATTCGGCTTCCATCTACAAAGTCCCCAGGCCGAGGAGCAGCCTGTGAGAGTGGACGGGTTGACTTCATCGGAGCTCCTAAGCGCGGACTGAAGATTGACACTTGGAAGGAAGAAAGGGAATAACAAGGTCACAATGTGGCAATGAACATGGGTACTGAACTTCCCGGGCTTGGATGCAGTAGGATGAACAGGGAAAGCTATTAGGATGAAACAATCAGTAAGACAACTGCGAGCAGCACGTCAATTTGCAGATCAACTTGATAGGATGAAGAGTTAGCTCGCGGTGAAACGATAAAGTGTATCGATAGGTAAACTGAAACAAAATAGAAAGTATGGGGCTCGGATATTATGTTTACAGTGGATTACACCATGCTTTAATAGACAAACAAAGATGTTTCGGTGACTAGAACTAAAGAAATATCGACACGTACAACGATTCGTCATCAGTGGGGCAGTCACTCACTTATGCATGACTGCTAAACATAACAACCCAGATTACGAAATTGATGAAAGCAGTGAGTTAAAAACCGAATCGCTGATGTATGACAGAGAAAAAATAAGGTGGAAGATCCGCAAGACAATACTTACCTATGCGTATGCAAACGAATGTAAACGCAAATATCACCATCCAACGATCCGAATTCAGCTCAAACTTACATGTATGCGATATCGGCATCGGTATCTTTCGAAGAGAGCCCGATAAGTACTAATATTCCACGTCCTATATGACTGACGATAGAGTTGTCAACTGCAAAGCAATACGGAAAGGAGTCAAAAATATGACGCAACGAAAAGCTCTACGTGTGTGTGTCTTTACAGATTAAAGATATTTTATACTATCGACCAAGCAAATAAAAATTGCAAACATCAATTGCCAACAAGCATCAAACCAACGGGTACCCACTCGATCCCCACAGGAAAGCACGCCGTGCAACTGGTAGCAGAAACCGTCCCTAAAACTATATTCAAGGCACGCAAAAGCAAACAGCGATCACTTCCAAGGATGGATACAATATATTGGTTAGGATCATCATTACACACGTTAGCTAAAGATGAGAAACATCGCAGCAATGTTTGGCAATATAATCCAGTTGTATGGTAGCAAAAAATGGAAAAGCAAAAATAGACAATACCATGTCTTGCTACGATTAAGAGTTGATAATAGAATCGTGGTTGGAGGAGGAGACTAAGCGTGAGGTGGAGGGACAACGAAACAACACAAACGGAACCGAGGTCGACTCTTGGATACGTCAACAAGTGTATCCAACCAAACGTGTTCGTCTTACGGACCTTAACCAGGGAATCGGGGAGCACCAACCGAGGCCAACTTCAAAATGAGTGCATTCATCCCCTTGACCAAGTCATTGGTTGACTTCCTCTCCTATTCCTACATCTACACCCCCGGTCGCGCAAACAGCGCACGTCAAGGAGGTCGGTGTGCTCACATACGTAACACATGGCTCAGCTATCGAAGCCTGGTGCGCCAAATAACGGTGGTGAGCGGTTCGCTCGCTCTTCCTGCATCAAATACGCGTCGCCGAACACGCTCATTATCCACGTTGCGTTTTCACCAGACGAGAGTTGTGATGCGAAGTCACAAGCGGTCGAACACAACTGTCCCGTACATGGCTGTCAATCCTACGGGCAAGACTTTAGAACCGCACGGCACGGTTGGTGGTATGGTAGACTATGTTTATGAGGAGGATAAGGTCGCACCGACGCCACACGCCTTTACTGTACGGTTTGTGGCCATACCTTCTATCTCAAAGCGCTGATACAGCTGTCCGGGCAGTTGAGCCTCTGAAGGACTTCTAGTTGATCCCCACCAAGGGTCAGTGAAAATGTTAGTCTCTGCCAACCCTCGGGGAAAGTATTATATTTTCAGGGCTCAAAGAAAAGCCCGGAACCACTGATAGCCACTGCTGATAAGAAAGCTTGGGAGCTGTCAGAGATTAGGATAATGTCATCTGCATACTCCAAGTCAAGAAGTCCATTACATGGGAGCAACCGGATGCCGTGTAATTCGAGCCCGGTTAACCTAGTTTCCATGCTTCGTCAACAGAAAAGTTGATGAAGTAGGGTGACAGCAGCCATAGTTCTCCTCTAATGCTGGAGATATTGAAGGACGGGGACATTTCACTGTAATCTCTTAATGTATCCGGACAGTGCACACCGTTATCATTACGAGAGCCTACACCGTTTTGGTCACCCATATGTCAGTGGCAATTTTCCAACTGGAGCGTTCAGATCACCAGCCAGCGCAACAGCATCCGTTCTTCTTCTGCGACGAAGAAGCTCATTCAGTTGACGATCAAATCAGTCTTCTATGGAGCCAACGATACAGCTTGTGGAAGCGCAGGCAATAATTGCAAATGAGCACCCTTCATCCCCATGCGATTTCGAAGTAGTGAACGAGCCAACTAACCTGAAGGCACACAGCCGACTACTGATTAGGATCCAGTGGATCAGAACAGCGCCCACCGGGGGTTCAGAGTAATGCCTGCACCGGTTTGTCGGGCATTTGAGGCTGCATTACCGCTGAATAGATGCAATTGGAATGTGTTGCCAGTGTCCCATGCATAGGATCGTAAAATAAGCACAACATACTAATAGTCTGAGGAGACAAGGCAGATGGCCAATTTCAACAAAGAGAGGGAACGGCGATGAGATTACAGCAAGAGACAAGCCACGGAGTCAAAGCAATAATATTCAGGCATAAAAAACAAAGGTGGTTTACAGTTAATGGACAAGGGACGGTTTACGATAAGACGCTCTATCGGCAGAGATTCCATTGTTACACCAGTAATGCGTACATCTTCTTTGCAATTCAACCACAATCAGTTGCGCACGGGAGGCCCAGCGGAGCACAGGGAACTAAAAGTCAGCGTGCAGTTACAAGTTAAACGCCGAAACAGTTCAGTTACAGTTGGTCAGCTACGATCCGAGCGCCGAAGTGCAGTGGATCCAGTTGGCACGACTTACATCGCAAGAATAACAATAAATAACACCAGTGGGATAGTGTTGTTGGGTGCAAAGTGAATGTAAAGAAAATGAAAGAAAGAAGGAAAGGCGTTAGATTAAGCAGAATGGGACGAAAATTAACAAGCAGATGAAAGAAGCCGAATGCAGGAACGCCAAGGATTTCGTGGCTGCGCCATGTCTGACACGGTCTCCAACCATTGGTGTGGATCGTCCCGATGCCCCTATCCAGGGAAACGGCACGCAGCAGCCCGAGCAAGTCTATCATTCAATTTATTCACATGTCTGTGCCACCCCATGGACTCGCCACTCCATGGTTTCGCCCAATTTGGAGCGGCCACGGCGTATAATACACGCCGAAGATGTCGGTCAACGGGCATACGGAAGACATGGCCTAGGAAACGCAAGCGACTAAGATTTAGCAAACACGCCATTGAGGCAGCAGAAGGCCTTTTGGCATAAACCAACTGGCAGACCTCAGCATTGCTCACCCGGTGTTCCCACCAAACGGGAGAAATACTTCGCAAGCACCGGTGCTCAAATACAGCAAAGCGTTTAATATCTTCACTGTGAACTGACCTGGTCTCTGATTCATACAGAAATACAGGCCTTATTGCAGCGTTATACACCCTACCTTGCACGGACAAGCTGATATACCGCCGTCTCCATAGATGGTTGAGCCTCTGGAAAACCACACAGGCCTTGCTGATATGCGAAGTAACTACCTCAGTGATGTGACCACCAGAGGTCACAGCTACCAAGGCAAGTGAATCGATTCATCATTTCCAGTGACTGTTCGGAAGTAGCTAAAACCAGAGGTGTATCAGCCCAGACCCTCAACAGTACCTTGCACTTTGAAGGTGCAAAGTACATGCCGAGGCGTACAGCGCTACGCACAAGTCCGTGCAGTACTGTTTGCATAGCCACTGCGTCAGACGCAAGAAGAGCTATGTCGTCCGCATAGTCTAAATTTATCAGTCGGTTAACTGGTAGAACTACCACTCCAGAATAGTCTGAAAAAACGAGTCGCTATGATCAATTTGATCACAAGTGTAGGAGGGAGTTATAGGACAACGCAGGCGAACCCCACTTGTCGTGCGGAACTCAGGAGACTAGTTCTAGTAGGCCCTTACACCGCCGCGGGAATCACGGTAGAGGGACTTAAGAATGAAAAGGAATTTAGCCCTTCGTGGCTAGGCAGTGCTACAAGCTGGAGGGGTCACCGGAGTCGAAAGCGGCTTTCAAGCCAAAGAAAACCACCATAGTCTTCTGTATGTGTGCCTCTGCTCTAGAACGGCGAAGAGTAAATATGTGGTCGATGCAACCACAGATAGGGCGGAAGACAGCCTGGCTTTCAGTGATTCGCTCCTCACGGGGACCAGTAAGTAGTCTGAGGATGGTACTCGTGAGATGTTTGGATGCAAACGAGATACGGCTAATGCCTCGATGATTTCCGCACAAAGTACGATGACCGTTCTTGCAGATGGTACGACAGTTAACAACCGCCAGTATGAAGACACTTTTTCAGTGTCCCAAATCGTGTTGAAAAGACAAGGGTCCAGTCGACAAAGAGTAGCCACCATCTTTCAGCAAAAGTGGGGGAAGGTCTTCGGGTCCCGAGACTTGTCTCACTTTAACACAGAGAGCTCACATCGAATCTCTTCTAAAGTGGGAAGTGAGACAACAAGTTCTCACGTAGGCTCAATGATTCGACAAACGGTAGTGCAGTAGCAGGCCTCCTGAACTGCTCTTTAAAATGTTCCGCCCAATGGGTTAGTCAACGATGCTGAGAATGGATCAACAGTCCAACTTTCTCAGCTATTATCTCGCTAACTGATGGTTTTCTCGGACGCATATTCCGGATGAGCAGGAATAGAACTCGGCTGTCTCCGATAGTGCTGGTTTTCTCCATCTCACGGACCTTTGCAACCCAACAACGTTCTCGGTCAACTCGAAAACTCCTTGTCAGACGTCGTTTCAGGGAGCTACGGATTCGAAAAAACTCAGTGCCCATCGGAGCCATTTACGCGCTTCAATCGAACTAAGCGATGCTTCAGATATCCATTGACAGTTACGACGTCTCAAGTTGGGTGCACAGCAAGCGTCAAAGGCATTCTTCATGGCACACTTGAGACAATCCTAGTAAGCGTTCGGCTCACCAACCTCATTCATCACTGACAATTGGTGGGCTAGTTCGTTATGACACTGTTGAACCGCAGAGTGCGAGTTCAAGTTATAGGTAAGAATATTAGTAGGCGCTTATGTGAAGTGAGAAGAGTGAGCGCCAAGCGTGTGCCAACTAGAGCATGGTCGGAATCTAGGCATATGTTCCAAATTGACCGACAGTCTTGGACTGATGTGCGCCTCCTGTGGCTGATGGCAATATGGTCAATTTGGGCTCAGATCATTGAGGAGTTCGGTGGGCGTCAGGTGATGCGGTGTGAAGCATAGTGCTGGAAAGCACTGATGTTAATATAAAGATTGTGGTCGGCGCATACTTGCTGGGATCGATTAAGGTTGTCTGTTCGACGTGTATTGACGCCGAAACGCCCCTCCAGGTGTTGTTTGGTATCTGAAAGACGACCCAATTGGGCATTCAAGTCACCAGCAACAATCATGATGAAAGATGGTAGTAGAGATCATTTTCGGTACCCTCCGAACTGGAGTCAGTAGGAGCATAAGCGGGAGCGATGGAGAGGCATCCTGTCTTCATACGGTGTATATTAACCACAACAGAGATTCGAAGTCGAACCGCACACATGCAGCTGTTCACCGGTATCCAGTTGAATAAACTGCCCTCAGCATGTCTGCTAAGGGCGACAGCAACACTGGAAATACCTTGAGTCATTGACTCGGTATCAACAGAGACGCGAAGAGTGCAGTGATTGTCGTCAGATGAAGAGCCATGAAGTCGAAGATTCGTCACAACGCCGTTAGCTTGTAAGTGTGTTTCGCAGACAATGCGCGCATCAATACGAAGTGAGTGAAGAGTGAGAGTCAGTACTGCTTGTTGTCCGATCTGACCCAAAGTGCGGAGGTTAAAAGAACCAAAATGTAAAATGAGACTCGTGGTTTGATGGACAAGTCACGAGTATCGATGGTAGCAGCAGCGAGGTCAGCAACACATTTCTGCTCAATAGATTGGGAAGAAGAGAGCTGATAGGGAAGAGAAAATAAGAAGAGGAAAGAATGTCGAGGTTGTCGAGAGGACAAATGACACTCCCCAGCTACCCATTCCAAGAGAGAGGTTTTGTTCAAGGTGTCCTACCTCTAGCCATTGACTCAACAGTCTGACCCCCAAGGCAGTGGGAGATTTGGAGGATCGCTTGAGGGAGTTCACCCGGAGTCTTTGGCTAATAGTCTAACCCACTAGGCAGTGGGGAGCAAGTTCAGCTCAAAGTATGACTGGAGAGACCCATTGGGATCCGCTCGAGGCCCGTCACACATAGCCTTTGAAGATTTGGAACAATTTACAGGTGTTTTATAACCGTATTACGTTACGCACTTGCGACCACGGTCATCCGCAGGTGAAAGTTGGCGGGTTTGCACCGATTTGACCAGGGGCTGCCTGGCTTGAGGCGAACGATAGCAAACCATTGAGCACCGGAAGGTGCCTTCACACCGTCAGATACAGTGTGTGGCGCTCGTGCTCTACGACAATCGAGCTATGAGCTTATAACCCGTAGACTTGTTGTCTCTCATGGCTAGGTTTTAAAAGAAAGAGGGTTATCGACCTCTTCCTAACCTCTCAAGTGGATTGGATTGTGAGACTAGTCTGACGTGTGTGGTATGAGTGGCTCTGAAGGCACTTGGAAAGTGTCACCCAGCATAGCTCAATGGATCACGGGGCATGCAAACTATCGCACCATGCTAAGGCCCAGTCTCTTTGCGATGGATAATAATAATAATGATAATAATAATAATAATAACAATAATGTCAGCTGCAAGTCGTAACGGCGTTTCGCTGCCGCGCGATGGAACAACCACACCATGGATCCCTGCTAACACAAAATGTAGCCGTGAAATTCCATCAAATCTTTTCTTTGAATTGATGGCAACAATGCTACATAAACAGATTATGCACGGGTTACAGTTTGAGATTTCAGATGAGACAGCAGTCACTGGGGAAATCGAAATGAAGGTAAAAGAGGACCTTTCCCGAACCGTGGTTGATTACGAGCTAGCAGAAAACCTTTGGGCTGGAATGCAATGTGCTGTTGGAGTGAATAGCACTGGTACGCAATATAAGCCAGATTGAAATTAACTACTCTGGCAACTCAGTTCGGTGTCCGTAATCGCAAAGAGGGCAGTGACAAAAACCAGTGACTCTATAGTGGTGGCGCGTTGGCGAACAACGGAGGCAATCGATTACCAAGTGGTTACCCGCCGTTATGATGCAATGTTGTCCAAAGGGAATAGAGGGTAGTCGGAAAATACTTCAAGTGATATGTCACGGAGAACTGGTAAGCAGTATGGGGTATGGTGTAGGGTGGAATGCTTTGTTTAACAAAATGGTTCGCCAAATATTACTAGTAGTTTTGAAGTCCGCTATATCAGGTGAAGAAAGCAGTCACATGAGTTGAAAGCCTAGTTGGAACTGAGCAGTGGAAAGCGAAGTGCTTAGGGTGAGTACTGACAGCAAGATGTAAGCAGTGCTCGCGATGCAAACGTCGCTATGCACACTTGGCTGCCGTTGATACAGTCGGACGAAAATTGAAAGCTGAGGTTTGAACGAAAGTTAGCAAGTGATCGCAGTCCTAGGTCCTAGGGCAGTCATGAAATTACAAAGCGAGATCGATTGAGAATAGAAGTGACGTTACAGATATTGTGAGAAGCTGAGGGATCGATGGCTGACGGGCCATGATTCAGGCAATTTAGTCGAGTGCACAGTGATGCTGAAGCAGGGGGTTCAGTAAGCTGCTCTTGAGAGAGAGAGAGAGCTGTGTAGGAAGACAGGCACCGTACCTATGTTTGGAAAGGCCCGTGATAAACAGGTCAGGCTAGATGGGGAATTTAATAGGAACTACCACAGAAGGAGACCAAAATCTGTTAGCTACGAGTCGATGGGCTATGTGCAATGAACACGAAGCCACAGGGAGTCGATATTGTTGTTTATTTGACACTGATCCATACTTCCTCTCGGTGAGGGGTTATAGGATCTGCGTGCTGACTCGACTGTTTGGCGCTGTTCGGACGAGTAGAGTATACGCCAAATGCACCGCTGCGCGTCGTTCAATGTGTACAGAACCAATCCCAAGCTGATCATTCGATCCACGATTATCGTCAATCGTTTGCCACATCGACAAGAACGATGGCGCTGCCCATTGAAGCGGAAGCTGAAATTGCTCTGCAGGTAACAGGAAGTATTGTATGGTGGCCAGCTGCCGGCAAGGAGGTACCTTAGGCACGGAAATTACTTACATTAACTTTGAATTCATCGCTAATTTGGTAGCTCCAACAAGTGCGTTTAATGCCGTTTGATCATATGGTAGCGAAGTAAGCAAAGGCGATACGCTGTTTGTCGATAACAAACATAGTGACAAAAGTACTGTGGCGTCGGAATTTCACTAGCACGCACTGTGCTGAGAGTGACCCAGTGGTAAATGCATCGATCAGAGGTAGTTAAGTACGAAGTAAAATAAACATCGGCAAACTAGAGTTCCTTAGTAGCATTAAACCATAACAGCTGCGAGCAAACAATGCAGATTGGCGCAATTTGTGGAAATCGTGAGACTCGATCCGCAAACTGTCGAATGTGGAAAACAGCAGAACTTGAGCAAGTTTTGGGATACAACCCCAAGAGAACAAGCAAACAAGGTACATAAAACGGCCGATGCAATGCACGTCGGGCCATCCAGGACCATTAGGAGAGTACGAACGAAAACGGATTAAGAGAAAATCACGGGTAGGCAGAAACACCGTCAGCGGATAGAAGCGAAGTACACAAAGGTACAGAACTTGAAAACCCCAACAGCATTTGAAGAAGAATTATAAATGCTCCATCGTGCATCGTTTAGTGAAAATCGAAGTCACAAGTCCGAGGATGGCGAAATGTTTAGCTTGGTCGAGAAGAGGTGCACGCACTCGAGAGTATCGCGAGGTATGCCTTTCTAAAACCCGGAGAAACATCTTCAGAGGTAAGGTAATAATAGCGCAAACTCCATGTTTCCCAGGGTTTGATCGAGGGAAGCCAACACACTTTCTAAGTCGATTTAACTTCGGCAGTCTTCATCGTTATGCAGCCGAGGCAATTTTCACAAACTATCCGAACAAAAAGGAGCGCTTTTGCAGTCCTGCGAATACGAACCACTGCAGGCGCGAACGACCTGAGGGAGAATGTAAACAAGCTAGGTAGTGATTCGGAGCTGGTTTCCTGAGGATGGAGTTCAGCTGGGATGAATCGCCTTATGGGCTCAAGATTAATGACTTTATGACATGAGAGATTGCTTGGTGGAGGGCACAGAACCAGAATGTTATGGAGATGAGCGACATGCAACAAAAAAGCATAAGTGGAAACAGAAAAATGAATACTAACCTGACACCGACGCTTCCTTAACCCGTTGTATTACAGCACGCATCAGAGCTACAACATTAAACGATGAGATAAAAGAATAACAACGGATGGAATCGGGAACTGAAGAAGTGAAAGCAAAACACAAAATGTAATTCGATCAAAAGATGCGCTTCTCTCAAATGATGGCAATGACCCAGCGGTATACACTGCTCTAACAGTCGAACACAAAAGCGCGAGTTATTTAAAGTAGGTTCAGCTCTTCCCGTGCGAATGCACTGTTGAATAAAAGAGTGATCTAGCCAAAAGTCAGGGGAATTACCATCATGAGGGATTCATTCCCTTGTGTGCTGCAACCAGTACTAACACCAGCCACTAAGAGTGATAGTCTTATCGTAGACCCGGTAAAATACTGCACTTGGCAGTCCGAAAGGATCTGCTAGTGGCATAGCACGCTATTTAATCATCGGTAAAGTCGTATAGGTAAACGACTGCTAATCCAGCATTCAAAAAACCACTGCAGCAATCTGTCAGTGTTGTGTAAGGATGGTTATGTGTTGGTCACTTGATCGGCTCCGTGAGGCCAAGCCATCCCACGTGCGATTATTAATCCCATTGTGAGGATAACCGTAGGTCTATCGCGGCTCATACGAAAAAAATCATTCAGATTTAATCGGAGGCCGCAACCCAAGAACGTGACACGTTCTCAGGACACTAGCCCGGCATGTAGATCAAGCGGGAAGATAATCCACTCAGTGCGCAATTTACGACACAGGTTGCTGTGCAATCCAGAGCAGTTGACGGAGCCAGGTCACCATGGCCGCACGGGTTGCTATGGTGGGGACGTGATCGTAACTACAGCCAGACAGTGAAGACCGCTACCAGGGTTGAATCTGTCCAGACAAGAGACGTGAATCCCCTCGGTGATGGACAGCCGAAGTAAGAGGATGTGACCTAGAAAATTAACCGTGTACTGTTCCTAAGATACTTCGGTCCAGCAAGCTTCAGTGATCTGTTTCGTCCCCGGCTGGGTTGGCAGTGGCAGAGGCGAGGGCAGTGTTATAAAAAGAGTAGAAGCGATTCGAACAAAACGAGACTAAGCGAACATGCATTTCTTAAGAGCGCATAACATGGACCAGCGGTCCAGACGGAGGATAGGGGAAGCTCAAGGATGTGCACTAGCAAGTAAGACAGCAAGTAGGCCGGAACTGCAGTTCCTGTAGTCATGGAAACTGTTGGATGTATATCGCCAACCGATTGCGCAGGAAAAGAATAAAATTTTAGTAAGTTAAATAAAAATAAATTTTTATTTTCGACAATGCGAGGCATGCCTTCACAGGCATGATAATATTAAGATAACAAGGCGTGATCAAAGATACGTGTTTGCCGTAACAGTGAACGTTTGTATAGCAGTATATCTAGGTGCAGCTGAGTGCAGAGACCTCGGATGACTTTGCAGTTATCTCTGGTGTGAAGCAAGGCTGTGTCTTAGCTCCTGACCTGTTTAATATATATCTTCATGCAATGATGTCTTGTGATTTTGATGCCGTCTGTGCTTACGGTGTTCGTGTGGAGCACCGTATTGATAGTGGATTACTGAACATCCGTCGTTTCGGTGCGAGAACTCTAGTCTGTGAGACAACTATCCGTATGTTGCTGTTTGCTGACGACTGTGCGTTGTTTGCACACAGCGCGGATGAGTTGCAGCACATGACTAGTGCTCTGGCTTCGACAGCGGCCAAATTCGGGCTCACCATCAACACAAGCAAAACTGTCTGTCTCTTTCAGCCTTCACCGGAGGTGCAATCTACAATATTGCCGCGAATCAGCATTGGTGATGAAGTACTGGAAACCACCTCCCGCTTCTGCTACCTTGGGAGTGTGATGTCGACTGATCAGCAGATACACAGTGAGCTGCGTATCCGCCTGTCGAAGGCAGCGGCGGCATTCGGGAAGCTAGAGTACCGAGTGTGGAACAACCATCAGCTTACCATTGGCACGAAGCTGATGGTGTACAAATCCATGGTACTGTCCGTTCTTCTATGCGGCAGCGAAACATGGACGATGTACCATCGGGATGTGCGATATCTCGAGCGGTTCCATCAGTAGTGTTTGCGACGGGTTTTGCGCATCGGTTGGGGCGACAGAGTTGCCGACACGGAAGTGTTGCGCCGAAGTGGGATGTATGCAGTGGACTACATACTTTTGCTGAGACACCTGAGGTGGCTCGGTCATGTGAGCCGTATGGATTCGACGCGGATACCGAAGCAACTTTTATATGGTCAGCTGAGCATTGGGAAGCGGCATGTGGGGAAACCAAAGTTACGTTACCAGGACATGATCAAAGTGAGCCTCTCACGTTCTAATCTTGATTGCAGGTCATGGGAATCGAAGGCGGTTGATCGGCGTGCATGGCGCGATCTAATCACGAAGGCAGTTGTCGAAGTGCGGGAGAAAGACCTCATACATGCAGAGAAGAAGCGGCAATTGCGGAAGCGGCAGGCGCCGGTGGGTTGTACTCCATCGACATCGAGCGCATGGTGCTGTAGCACATGCGGTCGCGAGTGCCTGAGTCAGGCAGGCCTAGTGAGTCATGAGCGAGGCCACTCGAGACCACTACCGAAGCGACGACGGGTCCTGCAGAAAACGTAGGCAGAACCGGCGCAGCGTTTGTAGGCACTTTGCTTTCGATTTACTAACCGCGTGCTTGCATGCTGTCACTTTATTTCAGGTGGTGGGTTTTCAATTTTGTAATAATGATTTTCTTTCTCATATAAATGTCCACCTGTACGCTCTTCTATAAACCTGCACAACTCGCTTAAGCTAATTGTAGTTAATTTCGATAACATTTTCGTGTTTGTGTCATTTCCGTAAAATATACTTGCTGACCTCCTGAACTTATCTCGGATCCTTAGTTAACAACTTATTTCATATGCTCATTAATTTAAGATTTTTGTCACGTTTCCTTATACATTACTGGATTTATTTTATTTGTTATTTTTCTCTCAGGTGATTGGTTGTCACTTGATATCCCCGGTGTGGTTGCGCTTGATGTGCATGTTGACAAGGTGCCTACCTGTCTATTACCCACTACCTCGTTCATACTGGCTCTAGGAGACAGTTGGTCGTTGTTGAAGGAGACGGGGTGCGCGGTCCTCGTGGCCGTGTTAGGATCAAAGAGTGATTCCATGCAGTCAGTGTGGAGCGGACTACGGTCCAGCCACCGCCTTGTATGCGCTTGATTCCCCAAATACAGCGTGATTGTGTTTGCCAGTGGAGGAGTGTGGGGCGGCCCCGTTGATGAAACGTGGCTCCCATCCGCATGCCTCCCGGTCTTATTCCTTCGGGTTTACACTGGATATGGGGTGTGTGGTTGGAGCTGTGGGTGGTGCAGCGCAAGCCATCCATGAGCCCTCTGTAGGCGCAGGCGTCCTTTGGCTGGCCACAGTGCAAGGCAAATCCGAAACCGGATGCCGCCAATCATATCTAGGTACTTGCGTATGTGTGTAGCAGTGTAGTTTGTGCTTGTAAGTGTGCCGCTGCATCCTTGACTATTTACTAGTGCCGGTAAAGTAGAAGTAGATGATTGATGTCCGTGACTTGGATAGGATTATCCGGATAATCACAGTAAACCTCAAGGGACAGAACTAACCATAAGCGTTAGAGCAAAATAGGGTAACTTAAGCGTCCACGCGCACAGTTCTTTGGTCCTTTGGCGAGTAAACACAAGAGTACACCAAACTAGTGATAAAAAAGAGCAAACAGAACAAACACGGATGACGGGTGGTGTATAGTACAGTGCACATGTGGGGAGGGAAAAAAGAAGGGGTGTCCCAACCCCCAAGACGTCCGAAAGAAAATATTGTTGCTGGCAAAAAGCAGCCACCTGGTGACCGTTTGGATTTACCCGTAAGGGATCGTAGTTGAAAAAGACTACCTGTACGTCCAAACAAGTTTGACGAGATAAGCTGGGAAGTAGTGCTATTAAGGATATTATCGCTGTGCGCAATGGTGAAGAAATCAAGATTAGTTACGAGGAATTTTGTTTGAAAACAACCCTTTGTGAGAATGGACCATAGAAGCTGTCAGATCAATCATCCGACACCTGAAAGGGCCGGATAGTGGTAGTATGGGGATAGGTGAGAATACGCATTAAAAGAAGGAAATGAAAAATGACTCCAATTTTACCAGCCGGAAAAATCATACTATTCATCGTCCATAAAGCCGAAAGTTTGCTCGCCAAACCAATGCATGTTTTGCGACTTCCGGAAATGAAGCAGTTCGAGTTTTGTTCCTGACATGTTGGACACACGGTGCAAGAAATTTGAAAAAGCAAGGGAAGACACTGTTCCCAAAACTATTTTTAAGTAAAGAAGGTGACCGGGTAGATAAGGACAGACCACCCGAGTGACGTTCCCGGGGATAATGATGATGACAGTGAACTTATAAGCATGTGACAGGTGAGTAAATAACAAGATGGGGAACGCCACTAAGACCATCACTAAAACAAACAACCGGAATTGATCACGTGAGCAATATGTTTAGACAGAAAAGATTTCACCCAGAAAGAAGCCTAGTCGGTAGAAAATCATCATCAACAGCAGTACATTAGCCATTTGAATTGGTGCTTCGATGCCATACAACCATGATGACCTATGGAAAAGCTGAGGGCTGATGGACGAAAGCGATCCGGTGGAGGGAGCGCGACCGTGGGTTGAGACGTAGAAAGAGTCTACGGCCAACAACACAGAAGTGGTATGGATGAAAAATGGGGGGGCAGTGAGAATGGTTGCTAGATTGGCTTGTCAAGACCGTAGCGGACAGAGAAAGCTGCATTAATGGCGGACTGAACGGAGCTGCCAACATCAACACAAACAGAATACAGCCCAAGAAGCATGTAAAAGGCAGTGAAGTTTAATTCGGAGCTATCAGCAGTTTAGTTGAACGATTATGATCCGAGCACCCAAGTGCGCTGGATACAGTCACCATGACTCACACCGCCAGAATAACAAGAAATACCAGCGGCAAGAAAAGGAGGCCGAATGCAAACAGAAGGTAAAGAAAATGGACTCA